GGGAGACTTCTGAGGGGTTTTTCTCCCTTATAAATTCATTTTTGTTACAAGCATCTTTTATACATATTACTAAAGGGAGCGCACTAAGAAATGCAAATAATAGTTCTTTATTTTATTATGACAGTTAATTAATAGCAACCTGTTTTAATGAATAAAGTCACTCAGAGTCCTTCAGCACTTCCTAAGTAGAGGCCAGAATCTGTAGGGATTCTTTTTTCCCCCCCATTGTATAGCTCCAAGACTCCGCGCACTATATAGGGCCTGTATAGAAATGCTCGCTAATGAAGAGGGAGGGCGAGGAACTTGTCTGCATTCAAAGATCACTGGTGAGTCATTCAGCGAGAAAAGGCCCCTTGCTAGGAATAGTCACAGTTCCGCGGCATTGTGCTAGCAAAAGGGTTTGATCAAAGGTCTCCTGCCGAGCTTGCATGGTTTCCTTTCATACGACGACCATAATTAAAACCACTAATTCTCTTTTAAAATGCTGCAGGATGCCATGTAGGCATCTGTCTGGAGTGTCCTTTGTGCTGTCGGGAGCTGTTAAGGACCAGCGCCGAGGGCTTTTCAGCGACATGCCAGTCAGGAAGGTGATTCGACATAAGGGTGCCTCTGAAGGCTTGACAGGGCCTTGACTACACAATTCCAGCTGAATTTGCCCCTTGTCAGCTGCCAGTAAATAAATCTCAAAGAAGAGAGAGGGGGGGAAAAAGCTGAAGTTTCATTACCTGATCCCCGGGGCTTTGTTGGTTTTGGCATCGCCCAGGGGGAAGCCCTCGCCCCTCGGGGCTGGGGAGCTGGAGATGGCCATTGGAGACCCCGGCGCCCGGGCCGTTTGAAGACCGTCAATACTTGTAACAGTTCAGCTGTTAGGAAGACAAATAAATGGAAGAGCCCATTAATCCCCTTTGGGTACTCGGTGCCTTTTGCCCTTTTATCACAGCCTTATTAGGTTCCTACTCATCTTGAACCAGGAGGGATGAATTGAAGTTGTTGAGCGCTAATTGGCAAAGACTTTTCATCGCGGGCCAAGAACTTTCACTGACTTGAAAGTAACTTCGCCATGGGGAGGATCAGCAAATTTTTGCCTCGCCATTAAAACAAAACCCCAAAATCCCATTGGGATTCAATGCGGGGTTTTAAAAAAAATTAGAAAAAAAAGAAAGAGGCAACTGCTAAATTGTTGGGCTTATCCTTCAAGATGATGTTGGCAACTTATATTTGCTCTTTAAAAGAGAGTCATGGAGCCAGATGCAGCACAGGGCGATCCATCCTGAAATGCAGTTGAAATCCACGTGTCTTACATACATATGTGTGTGTCACCAAAACCTTCTCATGGGCCAGGCTTCCCAAAAGCAGCCTGGGAGATGATCTGTAAGGTGGCACCATCGTTCTTGACAGTTTGCAACCACTCGAGGGTCAAGCAGAGCGGTGCTGAGGTTTCTGTACACCTCTGGACGATTCTGGCTGTCCTCACCTGGGTTTGGTGATGGGATTTATAGATGGGAAATATTTCAGTGTGGAGACTCTTGGATGTTCTCATGTGAATTGTTTTTTAATGTTGATTTTGGTAAATGCTGCATTAATTTGAATGTACTTATTGCCCTCTCTCCCTGTGCCCCTCATTGCATATTTTAAATAAAGAATACATTTGCCAGGTGATGAAAGCATCTTATACATGGTAAGTGACAACGTTGTGGGCCACCTGAGCCTGGAAGACATCGAACTGGGGATTTTAGAGAAAAAAATCCTATTAGTGTGTTCCCCAGCCTCTGCATTTGGGGCACTCATCAAACAAGGTGCCCACATTAAGGATGGCATCTCCCACGGGGTTGCCAATGTGTGTACCCCAGCAAAGCCCACTGATGCTGGAGCCTTCGCTATCTTTCCAAGGACTTCCAGGACCAGGAGCTTGGCACGGTGCTATGTGAACAAACAGGCAGCTAAATCTCCTGCACTGCTTGTGGTATGGATGAAGACATCATTGTCAGTACCCTCCAAAAGGCTGTTTGGTTTGGATCTGCCCGATGAAGCCGGAGTGAGCGCTCGTGACGTTGCTCCTGCCAGGTGGCTGGAAGATGCTGCCCAGCTCCATGGCCACGAAAGGCCATGCAGCGGGGAAGGACGGTGCTGGTGCCACCATGTCCTCCATGGGTTGTCCCTTCTACGGGAGCGTTTGAGTGCTCTTGGGTATTTTAGAGTTGTAACACATCGCTACTGGCCAGATACAGCAACAGCTT